TGGAGACACGCAATGTGAGATCGCAAGACGGGAGGAGGAGGCGGGGGAGGACGTGCCTACGGTCCAGTTGTTTGCGGTGTCGACAACTCGGGGCACGCCCGACGCGCGGACAAACGGTACGTTATCTTCGTCAGCGAGGTGCGCGTACCGGTTGAAGAACACCTGCGCGGATTCGAACGTCCTGTCGATGAACATCAGACACCTGCCTCCTGAATCTCTGAACAGGCCGACGTACTGAGCGGCCCCAAATGCCGTCAGGTCGTCCGCGTCGAGATCATACTCGTAGTCCTCGAGGAACTTGAGACGCTTGTCGGCGAATTTCTTCGCTGACGCGAGGCGTTCGACGGCGACGGCGTAGCGTTGTCCCTCTTCCGCGTTGGGATATCGCGCGCCGTGACGTTGCAGCTGGGCATGACACGATCAGACGCTGCGGTGGGAGCTTCTGTGACTGGACCTACCAAGTTGACCTAGAAGTAGAAGGACGGACGTCAGCTCCAGGCTCCGCGGGATCATCGTAGCGTGAAAGTGAACACAATCTCTGCAACACGCGCACGGAGAAGGCACTTCATGATCCTACGTCTGCGGCATCCCCGATCTATGAATGGCGGCCACACATACACCCCATGCGCAGCCCACACCAGACCTCCGCCGTGCCCATGCTCCGGACCACAGTCTGTCCACCGCACCCTTCCGGGGCTGCGCACTCCTCATATCCACCCAAGAGCGAACGGCGAACGCACTCACCTGCGTGACATTGCACCCCTCCGGGGGACCCACATATGTCCCCGCCGCGCGCCACGGCGCGTACTGGCCCCACATAGTCTGCACGCCCTTCGGCACATCCAGCTTCGGCGCGCGCAGGATTCCCTCCGCGACAGCCTTCCCCCTTCCCCGTCCTCCTCCCAGTACCTCCTCTACTAAGGCAGCGGCATGTCCGCCTCCACCCCCGATCCAGGGAATGCCGTCCCAGCCGTGCTGGAGGTGCCAGGGGAGGGCCCAGAGGAGGTACGCGCCGAAGACGACGAGCGTGATTGTCGCGCGGATGCACGCGGGGGTCATGCGCGAGCGCGCGGTCGGTCCCGTGCCGTTTGCATCCCCGTTTGCGGGCTGGAGGGTGGCGGAGGAGGAGGTGCCCGCGTGCGGGGCGACGACGGGGAGCTGGGGGAGGGACTTCGTGGAGAGGCGGCGGATCGGCATTCGTTAGATGATAGTCGATGGATATCTGCGCACGAGGGGGAGAAGAGGGTGAGGGGGAGACAGGGGGTAGAGGGAGATAAGTACTGACGGCGCGGGGCGAGGCTACTTATCGTCCGCGCGTGGTCGAGGGCCGGGATAGGACGCGCGGGGATTTTCATGTCGTGTGCCGTGTGGTTTGGAGCGCGAACAAGTGAGGCCGTGGGGGTGATGTCATCCTCGCCTGGCTGCAGTGCGCGCGAAGGCGCCCACTCGACAGGGACGCGCGCGATTGGCGTGCGCGGGCTGCAGGCCAAGGGAGAGAGGTGGTCACGCGGGGCTGCCTTGGGAAGATAACATAAATGATATTGTTGTGACCGGACGGGAGAGAAGAGTACGATACAGCCGATGATGAGACCTAGAAGGAATGGGTAGAGATACAGAGGGAGATATCTGCGGGTATATCAGACAAAGGCAATGAAACGGACGGGATGCATAGGGCGGAAGACAGGGAGACGCATAGGACGGGATGGCAGTCATAGTCAACGTGCAACTCATCGAGGTCATAGTACGGCAGCACTGCTGGATGGCGCGTAAGGGTCTACTGGAATAGCATCCCGCCTCAACTGGACCTTCTTCCTAGCCTGCTTCTTCGCCTTCCCTATCAGACACAAAGGCAGTCGTTTGTCAACATCTGCGGTGCAAGGAGGATAAGACGGACTCACGAGTGCGACGCGCGCGTACCGGCAGATCCAGCAGCAGCTCCCCATCCTCGCCCTCCGACGACAGCGCAGGCAGCCGGTCGCGCATGGCCATCAAACCTCCGCAGGACAAACACGAGCAGCCGTGGTACTCGCCCTCTGCGGCGCTCGCGCGCAACGTCGCCTGCTGGTACTCCCATCGCAGCTGCGCGACCTCCGCCGAGTACCTCTTTCTGCCATTCGGAGCGGGAACCACAGCGGAAGGCTGGGACTTCGACTTCTTTGTCCTCGCTGGAGGCGTGGGCATGGGGTACTTGTCCATCGCGCGCTCGAAGGTGACGAGCGCGGCGCGGGCGATCGCGTCGTCGGTCTGGACGATGGAGTCGTCGTCGTAGGGGTTCGGGTAGATGACAGCCTGGAGGTAGGCGGCGAAGACGTTGGGGACGTTGAGCTGCTGCCTGCGCTCGATCACGTACGCGATCGCGCGGTCGATGTTAGAGTGGTGCATCTTTTGACACGGTTCCCAGTGGTTGTGGTGAGGTGTGTAACAAAGTCAAGACGTCGTTGAGGGCGTCGCAAGGGAGAAAGGCGCGAGACGACAAAGTCGAAGCGTGACAGAAGAGGTGCAACAGGATATATAGCCGAGGAAAGGGACAAAGACGATAGATTACCACATCTTCTCCTATCATAGACACAAAGAGTCAGACCGAGCGCCATGAGGCCGTAGGCTTGGGCGAGGCTTGCCGTACGACATACGAACGCCCTCTTCGGATGATGCAGTGGGCCATGGCGACCAAATCCCGCATTGCTGGGGCCATCGTTGGTTGTAGAGAGAGGGCCGTGAACACTGTGGGCGTGTGGACGAGTACGGTGTCACGGATCCGCCCAAGTCCAAGCCAAGACCGGTCGGCTAAGATGAGAAGACTGGGGACAGGCCAAAGACATATCAACTTCCTGCTAGCAAGTGTCGAGCAGACTGGAAGGGAGAAAGCGAACGACAAACGAGGCGCAGCGTTACGAGCTCGAGCTCCCGATGGCCGCAGTGAGTTGGCCGTCGGCGTCGACGTCGCGCTGCAGGCTCCACGACCCGGCCGCCCGTGTCACACGCGTCACAGGGCCTCCGGGGTGAACGTGACGCGGCGGGCTCAAGTTTTCCTCCCAACTTGTCCAGGTCAAATTGGCTCGCCGAACGCTATCGTCCTCGCTCGCGGTGCCTCATTCCCCTGGTATATCCATTCTCTCTCGGTGTCGCGTTGTCTCTCATGACGACGCGGTTTACGACGCGTCGGGGACTGCAGGAAGGACGGGTCGAGAGCCGTGGAGGACATTTCCCCAGCGGGGTCGCACACATTCGTAATAGAGGATGTCCTCTTGCATTCTATAGCTGCTATGATAATTCGTGAGTGCCGCATTGTGTTCCTGCGTGCCTACTATCTCTTGGCGAATGCTCGGTTGCGCGTATCGGTGCGATCGACTCGGAGGACCAGTATCACTCGGGCAGCGTCGCCCAAGGCACACGGCAACGACCATGACTGCAATATCTCTCCATCTCAATGGCCAGCCGGACGTGGCGGCAAAGCCATTCGCGCTGAACACCTCCCCCGATCATCAGGCCCCCAAACCTTACCACCGTGTCTCCCCGCCCGGTCCGCCAAGCCCGTCGATAAGGTCTCGTGGAGATACGAGTATAAGGTACGAGAGCAGCAGCAGCGGCAGCGATTAGACTTTGGTCGGACTACCCTCTCCGTCTACGAGTGAACGGCCTCATAGCTCAAGTCGAATGTCGGCGCGCGTCACGAACATCTCCCAAGGCTGGGCGTGGAAGGAGCGCGACGCGTCCATCGCGTCCGTCCTCGACGAAGTCAGCCCCACCCCCTCCGAGCAGTGGATGAAAGCGGCTGCGTTCCCGTCCGAGGTGCACGTCGAGCTTTTGAAGGCCGGTCGCATCCCCGATCCTTTCATCGGGTTCAACGAGCACGAGGTCCAGTGTGAGTCAGGCATATCCTCTCGGAAAGACGATGTGGCTATATGCGTGCTGCTGTTACAGGGATCGGCGAGACCGAGTGGTTATACCGCACGACGTTCGACGTGCATGAGACAGAGCGCCGCTGGAAGAACGCGGAGCTGGTGTTCGAGGGCCTAGACACGATATGCGACGTCTACCTGGTCAGCACCCCTCTATCCGCGTTCGCTCGGGGTATGCGCTGCTGACTCGCACGCGCACAGAATGGCAAGAAGGTCTTGTACGCGGACAACATGTTCCGCACGTGGAGAGCGTCGCTGTCCCCGGAGAACCTGCAGGACCAGGGCAACGTGCTCTTCCTGCACTTCAAGTCCGCGCAGAAGCTCGCGAAGGAGCTCGAGGCCACGCACGGACGCGTCCGCGCCGGCTCGTGCAACCTCGGCGACCCGAGCCGCGTATACGTGCGCAAGGCGCAGTACAACTGGCGGTCCGTGCCCCCCGTCCTTCCATCCCCCCTCCCATCGCCCGCGCTGACGTTCTTGCACACAGGTGGGACTGGGTACGCCGTCGCATGCCCCCGGTCGCAGGAGACGCTGACGCTGACCGTGTTCCAGGGTCCCGAGCTGATGACGTGCGGGCCGTACCGCGCCATCTCGCTCGTCACGTACACCGCGCGCATCGACGCCGCGAATACGCGCGCGCTCGTCTCAGCTGCCCCTGCGCTGTCCCCGTCGCTGAAGGTGGACCTTGTCGTCGCCGGCGACGCGTCTGCTGTCCGTGGTGCGAAGATCGTGCTGGGGCGGCTGGACGGGTCCGTCATACGTGAGGAGGAGGTGTCTCTTGGGGGAGGTGCGGGCCTGAAGGACGTCATCGGATGGGACCTAGAGGGTAAGGTGGAGCTGTGGTGGCCTGTTGGGTATGGAAGTCAGACTTTGTACAATGTAGAGATCTCGCTGCTGGGGGAGGTGAGTGGTGCTGAGATCATGACAAGGAGACGATGAGAGGGTGGAGGGCTGACCGCGAGCCAGGGCGAGGCCGTCTTAGACACTCTCACGAGACGGGTCGGCTTCAGGACCGTGTCGCTCATCCAAGAGCCGCTCGAGGAGCCCGACCGCTACGGCAAAGGGACGACGTTCCTCTTCGAAGTCAACGGCGTGCGCATGTTCATGGGCGGTACGCACTCAGTTCCCTTCTTCCATTCCACAGTAGCGCCAACGACTCACGAAACTTGCGGGTACAGGCTCGAATTGGATCCCCGCGCACAACTTCCTGACGGCGCTGTCCGCGGACGACTACCGCGCGTGGCTCACGCTCTTGCGTGACGGGAACCAGAACATGGTCCGGCTCTGGGGCGGGGGCGTCTACGAGCCGGACGTGTTCTACGACATATGCGACGGTGCGCATGGTGTACGCTGCCTTCAGTCCAGGTGCTGACCTCGCCCCTTGTCGTTCTTGTTGTGCAGAGCTGGGCGTACTAGTGTGGCAGGATTTCCAGTTCGCGTGTGGCGTCTACCCCGCGTACGACTCGTTTGTGCAGAGTGTCAGGGCGGAGGTGGAGGACAACGTCAAGCGTCTCCGGCACCACCCTTCCATCGCCATCTTCTGCGGTAACAATGAAGGTGCATCGTCGTCGTCTCCTCATGCGTCGCTATGCGCTCACGTACGGCCAGACTACCAGATGGTGCTGCAGTGGGGTGGTACGCACTTCATGTCTACGACCGTTCGCGCTACCCGCTCACGCTGATCTTCACTTTGGCAGGCATCGACGCGTTGCCCGCACGAGTCCTGTACGAAGAGGTCTTTCCTGCCGTCGTAGCTGAGCACTGTGACCCGCCCATTCCCTACCACCGCGGGTCACCGTATGGGGGCAAAGGCTGGGATACAGCGGACCCCACTATGGGCGACGTGCACCAGTGGAACATCTGGGGCGGGAAGGAGTGGCCGTGGCAGGAATACCCGTTCAATGGCGGGCGGTTCGTGAGGTGTGTACAGGTCATATATATTTATCACGACGGCTGACTGTCTGCCTGGCGCACGGCTGGATCGACAGCGAATTCGGCATCCCGTCGTTCCCGGACGTGAAGACGGTCGACTACTGGCTCGGCGGGAACACGAAGGACCGGTGGGCCCAGTCGAAGATGATGGCGCAGCACGACCGTGCGGGCAGCCACGAGCGGCGGTTCGCGATCGTCATGAACGAGAACTTCAGGCTGACCGACGATCTGGAGACGTGAGTGCTCTGTGCTTCTGCTGCTGTAGACCCGGACGCGTATGCGGACGCGGCCGTGGAGCGCGGGCTGAACTCAATGCGGCCGATCGCGCAGGCACATATACAATACGCAGCTCATGCAATCGGAGGCGATCAGCCTCGCGTACAGGTCGTGGCGGCGCGAGTGGAGAGGAAAAGGCAAGCAATACGTGCGTCGTCTTCAATGTTTCGGGCCGCCTATGGGCGACTAATCGTACAGCATTCGCGTCCGTGCAGACCGCCGGAGTCCTCGTCTGGCAGATGAACGACTGCTGGCCTGTCATTTCATGGGCGATTGCGGACTTTTTCGTAAGGACCTGACATGAAGCTCGCTCGGCGGGCGCTGTGCTGATCGCCCGACGGCCGACGTCGCATCTCCACAGCTTCGTGCCAAGCCTGCATACTATACGATTGCGCGCGAGTTGCGTCCGATCTCGGTCGGACTGTTCAGGACCGTGAGTGCCTCGGTGACGGCTTGCCCTTGTCCTCGACTGACATTTCGTGGCTGGGGCCGCGCGTAGGTGACACAAAACCGTGAGAACGACAGGCCCAGACAGGCACGTACTGATTTTGATGGACTACTGTTGATTCGTCTCCGCTGACATTCCCAATTACACCAGTTTTATGAGTTTGGCGCGTTCCGCTCCGTGTCTGCGAACATCGAGGTGTGGGGCGTGAACGCGACGCTCAGCGCACGCGACGTCCGGCTGGAGCTGTCGTTCGTCGACCTCTGTTCGGGCTGGGAAGACTCGAAGACGGTCGAAGCCACGCTGCTCCCGAACCAGACCACCGAAATCGCGTCCATGCGTGTGCCCGGACCGCCAGCAGAGAACGCGAACTCTGTCGACACGTCGTACTCCGTGGTCGTCGGGGCCCGCCTTGTCGACGCGGCTTCTGGGGAGATCTTAGCGCGCTACGCCGACTGGCCGCAGCCGTTCCGTCTCGTCGACTTCCCTGATCCCGGGCTCGACGTAAAAGTAGAAGGCGAGAAGGTGCATGTAAAGGTGCAGAAGCCCGTCAAGGGCCTGCTCTTCACTGCAGACGAGGAAGGAGAGGATGCTCTGGGAAGACGGGAGACAGTGAGATGGAGCGACAACGCGATCGATGTCTTCCCTGGTGATCCGCAGGTGGTGGAAGTGCGCGGCTTGGCAGGGAAGCGCGTTAAGGTGAGGGCGGCATACATGGGCTGCGAACGTGGGCGCGTCGTGTACGGGCAGTAGGGCGGTCTGGAGAGGTGAGTGGCCATCTCAGTAGTCTTCGTTCAGTGTGTTGATGTATCTGGAAGAGGCAAAGTAAACTCAGCCATGTACAGCATGTCGAAATACACGGTGTTGATATCACTGGAATAATTGCGGCGGTTCTCGTTCAGGAACGACTCTCTTGCTTGTTCATCCTGTGCTGATACCACACCTCGGCCTTCAGCGCTGCGCTACTTACGCGAAAACCATACTTCAATTACAGGTGATACACATACCATTTATGTTCGGGACCTTGGGCGTCCCGAAGAGTATGAATGGTACCAACACATCTGTCTAAACCCCACGCCGTCACGCGGACCGCTTAGTTGTGCGCGTGCTCGGAGTTCGCCGCCATGCAACTCAAGAGCCAGACATATCTGAATTATCTCGTCCTCCTGTGAAAGCAGCCCTCTAGGTCTTGTGATCACCTGGATAGCCTGGATAGCCAATCAATCCATGACCCTCTCATATGGAATCAAGCTGCACCCGACCATTTCGGAGAACGCATAAGCTGAAAGTACAAACTGGTCATGGCTACTTCTAAAGACAATATCACACTCTACTTCTCACAGGTGGCTTCAATGAATAAAACTATCCCGCACAATCGCCGCAAATGTTTTCCATGCGTCTGGGATCAAGGCAGCGGGCGTCTGACAGACCATTTGACGGCTGCTGGGTAGGTGCGTATTATCATGTTTCATTCTGTATGATCAAGGTGATTAGACTCGCCTAATCAACAGCTTGCAGGTCCAGTCCCATAATCGAGCAGTTGCTTTTTCGTGAAGATCCGCGAGGACTCAGCGGCTGAACCAGCGCTCATCGGCTCGCCCAGATGCCAAACTATCCGTGGTTGACGGATGGTACCCACCAATTGGACTTCTCGTCCACGTCGTGCCCCCGCCCAACTCAAAATAAGTAGTCAAATTCCCTTACCGGCGCAATCCCGCTAGATGCCCGATGAAAGATCTCAGAATTGTTCTATTGGCATATGCAGTGCTTCTCTTGAGCGGCCATCCGCGCTGACAACTTCTCCGAGAAGGCGGGCGACTGACAGGTGTCTGTCTGTCTCTAGTGTACGAAGATATAAGATAATATACTGACGTCCGTATCTCACGTTGCAGACCGGGATGCGCCTACAACGCGTAGTACTTAGAGCCTCGACATTTCCCCACCCGCCCCATGCTAGTCCCCCTTTCTGCCAATACGCTGCCACGATCTACCGCCACTGGTAGGGATGTCACCGATCCATCTGGATGATGTGGAGAAGGAGCCCTGTAGGAGGATGACCCCCAATCACGACTCGACAACCGCGACGATCTACGAACAGGATACGAATTCGAGTAAAACACTCCCTTCGTCCACCCAACTCACGGCACCCACATATCCCGAAGGAGGACCAGAGGCTTGGCTCACCGTTTGCGGCGCTTTCGTTGGTCTGTTCTGTACATTTGGGCAGTTGAATGCCTTCGGCACGTTTCAGACGTGGTATGCCGAACATCAACTGCGCGACTTGCCCCCATCCACGATTGCATGGATCGGGTCCCTCCAACTATGGGTCTTCTTCTTCTCCGTAAGCGACGATGGTCATTCATCTCATGTGTATCCACTCTTATCCTTTTTCCCCACAAGGGTGGCTTCGTGGGACGTCTATTTGACGCATACGGTCCGAGAGTCATCATGGTTCCAGGAACCGTCACGCTGGTTCTAAGCATCATGATGACGAGCCTGTCTACTCGCTTCTACCAATACATACTCGCACAAGGCGTGTTGTTCGGACTCGGTGTTGGAATGATGTGAGTGCCAGGTCGTAGTATAGCCTTATTGTGGTGAATAATCTACGCTTGTCCAGCTTCTACCCATCGCTATCAGCTATCTCGACTTACTTCAGCAAACGCCGAGGGGCTGCCCTCGGGATAGCCTTTACGGGTTCAGGTGTTGGTATGTGATTCTCTCCCCTTGCGAAACTCCTGCTCAACCTCATTCTATCTAGGAGGTGTTGTGTACCCCATCATGTTCCAGCGCCTGTTTGCGCAGGTCGGCTTTGCCTGGGCGGTTAGGATCTCGGGATTCATATCGCTCGCCTGCTGCACAGTAGCTGTCGCCACAGTCACAAGTCGTCGCAGCCCTGTGCAAGACAGTGCTCCATGGTTTGATGGCAAAGTCTTCAAGGATGCACCGTTCATGCTGGTAGTCGCCGGTAGTGTCCTCGTGTGCCTCGGTCGGTCAAACCAAGTGATCACCGCGCCTAATCCCTGACGTTGTTTCTTCACCAGGTCTCTTCATCCCTTTCTTCTTCTTAGCCGACTACGCCAGGGATCATGGAGTCTCCGCAACCGCATCGTTCTATGTCCTCTCAGCGCTGAATGGTGGCGGCATCGTGGGACGTCTTGCGCCTCCGCTGCTCTCAGACTTCGTCGGCCGGTTCAATGTAATGGTTCCATGCGCATTCCTTCTGGGACTTTCAGCGCTTGTGTTCTGGATCTTCGCGAAGTCCCTTCTCGTAATACTCCTCTTCGCTATCCTCTATGGCTTCCTCTCTGGGGGTTTCATTGCCATGCTTATCCCATGCGTCGCGCAATTATCGGATTTCAACGAGATTGGAACTAGGATCGGTGTCCTGTACAGTATCATTTCATTCGCGTGAGTGACGTCGTATGGTCCAGAACGTCATCTAACTGACACGGACTCCCCCGTTTACAACGGCTGTAGTGCGCTAGCCGGCGGACCGGCGGCAGGTGCTATCCTCAAGGCAGACCATGAGTCATATACAGGCATGATTGTGCTTTGTGGCGTCGCCAACCTTCTGGGTTCGTTCTTCATGCTGTGGTCTAGAGCTACATTAGACTCTCGGACTTTGGTACGAATATAGTAGTGCTCGTGTCGCGTGCAGCTTGACCTGCCCTGTATCAATATTGTACTACTATTCTAACCAGCTTCAGAGACGAAGTTAGCAATCGATGGATAGCGCCCGAAGTCGTAGACAACTTGGGCGGTATACCGCTATGAATAACTTCACACACGTTGCATCATGACTATGCAGTAGGTCAGTCCAGACGCCGAAAATACGTCCTAGACCCGCTGACACGCTGCTTCTTAGGTTCTTCATTCGCTGCTGCTGAGGCCTGTGGCGTCCCTAATATCTACACTATCCGCACCGCTTTTGACGGTGGATCATGCGGCAACATTGAGCGTCTCGCTACGTCCGAACAGTATGGGACGCATACCGTTCTGCTCACTCGTATTCGGTGGTGAATCTCAGCAGCTCTCGCTGATATCCCACTCGTCGAAGGCGCCTCTCTATAAGGTCAGGGGACAGCGGAACGGAGTGATTCCTGGAAAGTTCTACTGTGAGGAAGATGGTACGTGATCCCACCAAAACAGGACGTTCAAATTCTCACTAAGCTCCTGCTATCGCGCGGCTTCTAGGTATGGGCGGTCTAGCCACCGGCTTAGGCGCCATTATGACCATGTCCCTGCCTCGCGTGTACTCCGTTGTGTTCACCTGTCCGACGAAGACGTATATGTGCTTTCCCGCTTACGTGGGGTCGATTCGAATGTACTGCCACGTGCATGCGGACACAATTTTGGTCTCTATTTAACCAATGATGCCACTCCTAGCCAGTCGTCACAAGCCCCGTTTCCACTACTGCAGGCACTCCTCGCCATATCCCGACCTTCCTGATGGTTGCCGACGACCAAGAGAAGGCTGAAATTGCTCTGGCCGGCATGCCTCATATGCTCATAGCAGAGGACACAACGTCCAGCGATGAATCCACGACGGAGCTCACGAACTGCATCTTCCCGGATCCAGGATTCAAGGCTTGGCTCACCGTTTTTGGCGCTGCTGTGATGCTTTTTTGCTGTGGGCAACTTACCGCCTTCGGCGTCTTCGAGACGTACTACGCCCAGCACCAGCTGAAGGGAGTGTCCCCATCGACCATTTCCTGGATCGGCTCCTTGCAGCTTTGGATATTGTACTTCTCGGTATGTATACCCAAGTAAACTAGTTTTCAGCCGAGTCAGTGACCTAAATTCACCCTAGGGATCGGTTTTAGGTCGCTTCTTCGACGCTTACGGTCCACGGATGATCTTGATCTCGGGATCGTTCCTTCTTGTCTTCTCCACGATGATTCTCAGCGTGTGCACGAGATTCTACCAATTCCTTCTAGTGCAAGGCCTGCTCACGGGATTGGCTTATGGGATGCTGTAAGTGACTACATGTAGTCTTTCATACGGTACACTACTCTGACACGACTGATTTCTCCCCTAAGATTCTATCCTTCGTTCGCTTCGATCTCGACACATTTCTCTACATTACGCGCTACCGCTGTCGGAATAGCAATCGCAGGCTCGGGTGTAGGTGCGTAATCCTTGCCTACTCAACTTTACACTTAGCTCAGATTGTGCGAAGGGGGTGTTGTTTTTCCAGTTCTATTTCGATACCTGTTCGCTCGGATTGGGTTTGGATGGACAGTCCGGGCATCTGGATTCTTGCTATTAGCTCTAGGAGCCATCGGTTGTGTGACTATCACAAGTCGTATCCCCCCAGGCCGTCGAGCCATCTCTCCCCTTCCAGACGTCAAGTTGCTCACAGACGCCCCGTTCGTATTGCTGGTAGTAGGATGTGTCTTCGTCAACTTCGGTCAGTAAGCAACTGTTCGTTTCAAGTAGAAGGAACTGACAAGTCTTGTATTTCAGGGCTGTTTATACCCTTCACCTACATCTCCGACTACGCTATCTCCCAAGGGGTCTCCTCCTCTACCTCTTTCTACATCGTATCAGCGATGAATGGCGGGAGTATCTTCGGCCGCATCATACCTGCGTTGGTTGCGGACGCAATCGGCCGATTCAATATCGCGTCACCTTCAGCTTTCCTTATCGGCCTCTTCGCACTGGTCTTCTGGATGCTTGCCAAGACCCTTGTCAACATCACGGTTTTCGCAGTAGCGTATGGCTGCTTTGCAGGGGCATTTCTTGCCATGCAGATACCATGCGTCTCGCAGATATCAGATATCAAGGAGGTTGGGACGAGAATCGGCGTATTGTACAGCGTCGCATCTTTTGGGTGGGTCTTGTAGATGACGCATCACAACCGAAGCAGAGGATCTGACACAAAATGCATAGGGTGCTAGCAGGCGGCCCTGCAGCGGGAGCGGCCCTGAAGGCGGGAAACGGAAACTACACCGGCATGGTTGTACTTTGTGGCATAACGAACATCCTTGGATCTCTGCTCATACTGCTCTCCAAGTATAGAGTGAACCGTAACCTATTCGCACACGTGTAATCGCCCGGGACTTATCTACTGCACTATTGAGCTTGCACCGTAGCCAGACGTCACTGCTCATCTCGTCGCCTTCCGGAACCTGAGAGTCGCAAGGTCTTTTCGAAATGTGTAACTATCGTGTATTGAAGTCGACGAAGAAGCAGGTACAGCGCATATGTTTGACTCATCCCTTTCAAGCTGTGTACATCGGAGGGGGGGTTACAGGCTGACGACGCTCTTTTCTCCTCACTCCATAGAGAGCTGCAAGCAGTCCGGATGCGACTGTCATACTGATCGACGGCGAGGAAGGGGTAGCTGGGGCTGTCGACGATGAAGCAGAGCGACTGGTATCATCTCGGAGAACGAGGGCGCGTAGGCTGCTGATGCGTCTCGAGAAGCGTGATTGATATCCCTTGCGTTTGGGACCCTTCAAGATTCGGGACACCTCGCCCACTTCACTTTCTGGAGAAACAATTGTAGCTCCTGTGGTCGAGGGCTCCGTAGCAGTGGGACTCGAAGGTGGGGGGATGCATGCCGACTGAGTGGAGGGGTCTGGGACAGCATTGGCTTCTAGGTCAAAGGGTTTCACTTCCGCATCTGGGCCTTACAGCGCAGAATACTCAGTGGCCTTGTTACTCGCAGTGATGGCTTCGGGAAGGGCGACTCACTGTTGTCGCTATCATGTATAGACGAGTATGGATGACGCTCCCTTTTTCTCCACCAGTATAAGAACGCCACACATGCCAATGCCAACATCAACCCTACGATCGAACCACCCACAATGGCCGCGATGGGTAGGCCGTTGCTTGGAGAGGGTACAGCCTCTTGCCAAAATGTATCGTCGGGGCGAAAAGCGAGACTGTCCAACAGGAAGGGGTAGTCGGGAGATACTTCGACGATTGTGATATTGACGCGATGTAAACTGCTCGGAATGTCTTGATAGACTAATGCAATTGTTTGAAACGCCCACTCCGTTCCGCTGTTGGGCAGGCTGGTAGTCATGAGAGGGAGTCCGTCGATGCACCAGCGGAACACGGGAGGAGGAGACGAGGTGGCGTTCGGTGGGATGAGAACCTCAAGAAACACCGTCGTGCCTGCAAATGAGGAAAGGTCACGCGATGTATCGCACAGGGCATTGCAAACTCACCATGGTATTGAAGAGAAACTGAGTCTTGGAGGGTTGTCGACGAAGAGACCTGATCCCCATTCTCTGTTGGTTCAGGCTGTTGCCATTGTCCTACATAACGCAAGGCAGCGTCTTGAGCACCGATGACAACTAGCCGAGAATTCCCCTGGTTCAGGTTATAGGGCATAACGATGAAGCACTGTATAGGCACGGGCATGGGCGTGCCCCGATCATCCGGTTATATGAGCTGACGGGTTGAAAGGGGGGTGTGAGGACGTCATGATCACTGGGCGTGGTGGCGGTCTTCTCGGGGGAGGACATTGCATGCCGAACTCCCGAGCCACTCATATCCACCAGCAGTATGGTGCTGCTTCTCACGAAATCCACTTCCTAACACCTACATCAAGATATCATCATGAGGACATGGCAATGTTCCTCGTGGATGACGTGATATACTAGACTTCGCGTACTGACAGATCGAAATCATCGTGATATACGATGGTACCCGTGAAGGGGATAGAACAAAATCGAGGCCTGAAAATCCATTCGGCATGAAAAGCAGGCCGGGCTCCGCACCAAGTGGGATCACCATTGCCGAGTGGAAGTTGAGACATTTGGCTTCATGTTTCTGAGTGTCAGAAGCGGCTCTCCTCCTAAGACCGGTTGCCGCGCAGGCCTAAGGCGCCCAGCACCTGTCGGGCCGACGTGACTACCTTACTGAAGCGCGGTGGCGGGGTCGTGGCAGGCGATCAAGCAGAAGGTCCTGGGACAGAAATCTTACTAGGGCGTGGATGCTGTGAAGGTGTGATGCCGAGCCCGTACCGCCGACGCTGAACGTTTCTTCTCAAGATGGTGATACTGTAGTAGAATCTGCCGCAAAACGGTATCTTCGGGTGAGGGGAGGGGACCCGGAGGTGAACGCGGAAGGGTAAACGGGTTGAAAGAAATCTAGCTGACTCACCGTCATGGGGTCCAGGTAGCAACGTATAACCATACTACAGCTTCCTCCGAGACAGTAGCTTCGCGCATAACAGCACCGACAAGAACCCCCAACGCCGCCTAATCTGGGCCCCACTGGTGACCCTGTCTTTGCCTTGGGTGTCCCATGCCCGCCTTCACTTGAGTCATGACCCTCTGACATTTCAGGACGACGGCACGAAGGCGAGGTCCCAGAACCTGTCGCTAGGGCTGAATGCGACCTTTTGGAGCGCAAATGGGTATGTAGCAAAAGTTCCGGTGATAAGAGCGTTCAGGATGTGCACGTCGTCGGGGAGGCCCTGCTGGTCGCGCACAGAGTAGAAGAGCCAGTCAGTTACGTCGTCAGGTAGTGTGCCAGACTGTGTCTGTCATTGATTGACCATCTGACAATCGGGGCGGGGTAGAAGAGGTATCTGGAGGTAGGAGGGCTTCGACGATAATCCGCGTACCTGCGTTGCACGTTACGGTAGACCGTACTCCATCCAAGAGTAGTACGATGCCTACCGTTGAATTTGAGGGAGAACGAGTTAGACGGAGCTACAGAGCATGATTCGGCGTAGCCAAACGCAGTCTCCTGTATCCAACTTCCTGAACATTGAACGGCAGGATCACAATCAGCCTCGTTGTAGGCCATCGTCGTGGATGGAGTCCAGAAGTACGAAGGAAGCGAAGGAAGGGAAGAAGCCGTCAGTTACAAGACTATTTGCAAAGTGGTCGCGGCTGACCCAGGTACCAGTTAACACACATATGACTTGATATGAGGATAGGTGCCTTTCCTGGAGTCAATGATATGAAGAAGATGATCATACCAAAAGTGCCTGAGAGCCTCTCAGGCACTTTTGGTTCAGTGAGAGCTGGTGAGAGTACATAGCACAGTACGGAAGACACGGCCCGTCGGGTCGTGATGTCTACAAGTACTTCGGCGTCTGTGTTTCGCTTTCTCACGGACACGCCGTGAACTTCCGCAGCGCAACAATCAACTTCGTCTTTCTCAGTATTACTGCCTTGTTCAAATGATGCTTGAGACATACACAAAGCCTGGGTTATGACGACGCATAAGATGGAAAGAGTGGGTTGGTATGGTGCAGTTCACTTAGTCACCACCAATGTTGTACGCAGTTAGGCGCGCGCTCAAGTGTCACGTGACTTGGCCTTAGGTTAGGTTCAACGGCTTTGACCCCCTCACAATACCAATACAGCCTGTTGTGTATCACTGCGACCTTAGACTTATTGATTATGTTCAGCAGTGGTGAAGTGCTCCTCCTGAAAGCACTAAAGCTAGTATACCTTGGCATCTCATTGGTCAACATGCCAGAGGCTCTGCGGTCGAGCTGATCCAACAAGGGAGTGGCCGACACAGGCAACGGGCGTTTCTCTACATTATGTAATGAAAAGATTACCTCTTTAGTATATAAACGCCCATATCACGTGCTGCGGCCTTACTGGTGAGGTCACCTTCGCCAGTTTTGACCCAATTGAGAATCGCTTTTGGGGATTAGTTCCCCTATTCAAATCCTTGCAAATGGCAAATAACGGAAGCGTTTCGTGACAATCTGATGAAGTTACATAGCGGCGCTTAACTGCGTACAAAAGTGGTGGTCTCTAAGTGAACTGCACCATAGGAGATGACCTTAAACCACTTTGTCGTTCACCAGTATACTCTGCATTTGAGACTACCAGTTTGGAACAGGCCATACTCAGCTTGCTCCTCGCGCCAGCTAATGAATAACATAGGCCCACGAACATCACGCGGGTCGATGGTCATCTGAAGATCATGTTCGTCGGTGTAATACGAGTACTAGTGACGAGCATCCAATACAGACGTACACCAGGGGAAAGACGTAGACTCGAAACCAGTCGAACGGAACGCACGTGGTCCTACCCTTTCACCGAATCTCGGCAGGGGACGACCTAGCAGAGACGTACTTGTGGAAGTGGCCCTGTGGAACTGGGGCGCTTATGCATCATGCACGCGAGCATGCATTGCGAAGTAGGACACCCAGGTCCCTGGGCTTGAAGTAAGAATCCAAGATCTAGGGCGCTACAATCACACAGCAAAGGCACAGATATGGTATACAAAGGCGGATGAGTCCGTACTCTATCCCAAGTCTCATGGATTCTCCGAGTAAATAGGCGGTGGTTCAGATGTAGGAGACGGTTCTCCCTTCGCCCAAGCCGGCCTCGCACGCCCAAAAGCAGCCAAAAGTCCAGCGGCCATTAGTCTGCTAAACCGCGGTGGCGGCGTAGTAGAAGGCGCAGATGACTGGGAATGGGCAGAGTAAGAGGAGGCCTGTTGACCCATCGACTCCTGCATGAGACGCGACGCTGAGCGCAGTTCGAAGCCTACGCGCTGAGGGGATTCGACAAGGATCCAACTTCCGTGAGGGCCACGCGTGCTGCGTGATAGTATCGTGGCCCCCGCGTCCGAAACATCCTCCATTGAGGGTGATTCTGGTGCCGATACTTGGCCATATGGCTCCTCCTTGGGGTTCGGGGAAGCATCCAGGGTCGGGGGACGATGAGCGAATGGATGTATCTGATGATCTGAGCGCATTTCAGAATTATTTCTGCGCCAGAAGCAAACATCCAGTTTACTCACCGTTGTGGATATCAGGGAGCCTTGCATATTTGTTTCGCCTCCTCTCCCACAGCAGTAGGATAGTCACACAAAGGACTGCGAAGAACACCAATCCGACTACCATGCCACCCACGACCGCTCCCATCGGCACCCCTGTACTAGCGTCCCTTCCCATTACTAGCATAGTACTTCCGCTGGCCGTTGCTTGGATACTCATGCTGGTAGTTGATTGAGTCGAATTCCCGTGAGGGTCGCAATACTTGTCGCTCGGCAGGAGCTTGAAGTCCAGGAGGTAGAACGGGTGTTCTACGTATGAGATGAGAGGAAGCTGCATATTCACGCACAATCTTATAACATACCGAAAGCATTTGAGTTGATCGCTTCCGCCATACCATCTGTTGGCGTTGGACAGCGCGCTGGCCAAATGTAACTGTTACTTAAGGTTCGTCAGCTTCTGCCTTCGCTATGATGACGTGCGTGGGTACGTCAGGTACGTTCGGCCCAATCGCCTGGAGGCGTAACTGTTGACATCGCAAAGGGAAGGATAACTTAAATGTGGCCTCGCGCCCGTGGACTTGCTGTTAGCTAGTATCGGCGAGCTCGCGCTTAGACTTCTATCTGTCGGTCTCTATAACTTTGGAGGTAACACCTTCAGCTTCCAGGTCATGAAGGAGGGCGCGCCACATGGGGGATGGCCGACCCTACCTGCGTATGTGTGATATATGAGAATAAGAGACAGACAATCCACATACACTGGAAGAGCATTGCGTGTGCTCTATCATCGTAATCCAGGCATCCGAGGGGTCTTCCCTTTCCTACGGTCATACTACGACCTAAAGCTGTGAATCATCATCATAAGAGCCAATACCACAAGCACCTGCAGTTCGATGGCCCATCTCGGCACGATGATCAATTCGAGATGCACTCAATTATCGAAGTCCATCCGATTCGTGACTGCGGCAGTGTACGGCGTGGGTAAGATCACCTACTGCAGCCACGCAATTCCGGGTTCCAGTGCTGAGCAGGCAAACCCCGATTTCACAAAGAGGGTACCTTGCACAGGACACGATACATGATCATCTAAGGAAGATGATATTGGTAAGCGCAGTGACATAGCGACGAATACGCAGAGACAAAGCTAGAGAACTACGGAGGACAAAAGGAACGCGGCGCCACGATACACTTGGGGTTCGACCAGAGTGCGGACAGTGGGTTGAAGACTAAATGGGAATATAATTGGGGGGGAGGCGTATACTTCTCTCTCATCGCAACTCTTCAACCGGCCATGGTATGCCATCTGCTGTGACATGATTAGAACGTCTCCTCCTCGTCGACCGTGCCTTCTGGCACCTCGAAGCCCTCCTAGGTAGCACGATGGCGTGATGAGCGAACGATGTGGGAAGACATCGGAAAAATTTCACCTCCGTCGAGTATAGAATCTTCTGAACCTCCCGTAGAATCGGATCGTCCCTGTCCTCTGCTTGCAGCGTCTCGAGCTGTTGCTGGACAATGATCTCGATGTCGCGCAACTAGTCCGAGTCGCGTCAGTACCATTTCCCGGAAACACAAGATACAACGAGAACGAGGAAAGGACGGGTGCAGTAGTAGTAGAGGGCGCACGGGTGTTCCCGGGAGGCAGTACTCACCTTCGCGAAGTAGAAGTCACGCTCCTTCTCGAGACCCTCCAGATGCGCGTTCATCTCCCTCAGCTGGGCCTGCAAGTTCTGAAGGGCCTCATTTGGTTGCGTGGAGCCCGCACGGTGACCGGTAACTGGCGTGCGCCCGCCTGCTCGCGCCCCTCCGGCGTGCAGGCCGCCAGCCGTGCGAGACGTTGAGGGAGCGAGAGGGGCGATAGTAGCGGGGGTGTCGGTCGGAACGCCACGTCTCCGCGCAACGGGGTCGTAGCCCTGTCCACCATAGTTGGTGTCCCAAAAGCGCTTGATCCACTGCAAGAACTCGAGGTTGTCCCTAGAAGGTGATAAGGGCATGGGTTGGGCGCGCGTGACTGTAGAAATGAAGGGAGGGACGTACTGCATCTTGCACTTTACCAAACGTTCTACTGGGATAGGCTGTGTTGTGTGAGATAAGGCTAAAGCAGTGTTCGAAACGAAGATATACCCTTTCGATCTTGTGCTTGACGAAGGAATTCTGGAGGATCTTGAAATTGGCGAGAAACTCGTACTCTTGTTTTGCATTCATCTTTACGCGATTCATGGGCATATCGCCTATGCATCAAGGGCCAACGCTGACTCTGTTACCAACCTGCTGCCCGGAGTACTATGTAGAGGGGGGGACAGACCGTAGATCGAGTCTATGACCTGACAGTACGCGCCACCGGTCCCGCATTGTTCAACTTTTTGGTAGTTGATCTGGAGGAGGTCGTTGAGCCAGGCAAGAAGTTCCGTACGAGATTCTCCCATCGTGAAGACGCGTGGAGTGGAGGATACGGGGACTATGAAGTGAGTGGATCGTGGGCGATGGGGATCAAAGCGCGACGGCAGTCTTCGGGACGCGACCGTGACTTGTCTTAGCGTCTTTTACGCCGTCTCCTTGGGCGTCTGCCGCAGCCGCCGCGTCCTTTCTTCCTCCGTTCACCTCCACTTTCCCCGCTGTCACGGCCGTCGACAACATCCTTTGTCAGTGTACAACGCGGTATTATTTCCATCGACTTCGGGGGAACGGATTCACAAGCGGCCAGCGTTGTCACAGCCATACAAGAGCCCGTGAAGCTCGAAAGACTTGGCAGCTCCACCGCGTGCGAGACATTCCTCGACTGCCCTCACCTGCTCGCCTGCACTAACTTCGTGCGTGCGTATTTTCTGGCCCGTTGCTTCCTGAGGGCCCTTCACTGAACATGATGTCGGTGTTGTCGTCCCTAGGGTCCGAGCGCTCGCTTTCTCCGGTCATTTTCCGAAACGGGAACTTGTGGCTCAGGTGAGTACCGAATTCAGCAAATGCTTCTCAAGTGGCAGGGAGGAGTGTGAGCCTGCCTAGATTCTTGGACTTATCCAAGCATCGTATCAAGTGCTCCGTTTATCCCTTGGCGACAAGTTCGCTGATCGCATTGCCTCCGCTCTCCCGGGAGACCAAACGCACGCATAAGACAAACGTTTTTGAAAGCGAAGTAGCTGCTGTTTCCGAGCCTAGTCGGCCAGATACTGGAGCTTCTCGTGGTATCCATTACCGAACAGTATCGAGGGGCCTATACATATAACAGCAGAACACTCAGGCGCGATCGAAGCCTAGACAGCGAGCATAGATGTATGCACCGTATTGTCTGGGGAGAAGTCAGAATAACCTCCAGAGATTCTACCATCGGCGTACAACTGTATCCCCGCGACTTAGCTTACAAGTGCGTCGCAGGCCAGCCCTCTGGAGCGGATACCGAACATTTTCTACAACATTCTACGTCATGGGTCCCATAACGATCCTGATGCCATCCTTGAACTGTTTCTATTCAATTGGTTTCACCGCGATAGAGTTCAAGCAATTCCTTGGACTTGGTTGGCCAACGAAACTATAACGCGTAGAACTTGAACGCTCGTCGCTAGATCGAGATTCTCCGCTTGGGAACGTCGTTACGTGCAGGTTTCATGAGCTTGTTCTAGACCACTTGAGACTGCACATGCCGCTTACCGATGTATTGCATCATCTCAAGTGAGAGAGTCATCTTACAGGTGACCGTTCCACAGGGTCTTGTAGCATCGTTTTGGAAATATCTCTTGTTATCATGCTTCCCACTATCGGTTTACCCTACGGTCCATCTATGCGCTGAGCCTGACACGAATTCATTAGAAATCTACGTCACTGTTCAGCGCCTCATCCTAGAGCTGGACAAGCTGATCTCGTTCACGCGTATTCCCCAGAGGGTGCAGGTAAAATCTCGAACCCGCCCATGATTTCCTGCGAACTAACACACTCCCGTCAGTTAGCCGCAGCCGAACAATGGTCCAATTACCTCCCGAAATTTACAGCGCGATCGCATCCTATCTCGCCACGCGTGACCTACTCACCCTCTCTCGCACGACTAAGGCCCTTCAGCGGGCCGCGGAGCCCCGAATATACGAATGTGTCGTGCTCCGCGACGCCGAGGCCGCACTCGTTGGCTGCCATTCCCTCATGCTCCGCGACGGCCTCCGTGCCCTCCTAGTTAAACGCTTTATTCTCTATCAGGATCCCCGCCGCACCAATGCCCGCACGAGCCTTGGTACGGCGCCCGCACAGTTCTGGCTCACTGTCCAGGTTGCGCTCACAATGACCGTCAACCTCGAATCGCTCATCATCCACGATCCGCTTGTCGCGCACTCGTGGGTGCTTGACCACGAGGATATCAGGTTCCAATTGCGCGAGGCGAACCTCCGCCTCCCCTGGGATGCGCACATGGTTGCGTTCCTTGAGAAGCAGCACAAGCTGCAGGTCCTGAACACGTGCGACTCGAACGAGGACGGCCCGCCCTGCCCGCTGCCCCCCGCCGCGCTCGGTGCACTGGTGACGTACAGCGGCCCAGTGCTCGTCGTCGCAGAGCTGCTTGGTTGTCCCCTTGCGCGGCTCCAGGTGGTCCTGGATGACGACACCGCTCCCATCCTGCCGACCGTAGTAGCGGATCTCACCAAGATCATGAAGGGGCTTCGCAGCTTGAGTGTGATGGGGATGCCGGTCCAACTGCTCATGGAGACGCTCCAGCTGGTCTCGACCGCGGTCTTCGCGCCCAAGCTTCGGTATCTCGGCGTGCTTCCACTGCCATCGTGCGAGGTGAGTTCGTGCTCCCTTCGCTTTTCGGGTTATCCAGATGGCCAGAGGCGCGGCGAGCCGAGTTATTTTCAGCTCTGGCGGGAGGAAGTAGCTAGAGCCTAGGAAGGTTACGCAGAGACAAACGAACGTGCTTCGCTGACGTATGCTCTTTCCCATCCTTTCGCCCTTCGCCATTGTCGCCATTCGCAAACACGAACCCACACAGTGGGACGTCATCCATCGCTGCCTAATGGACCTCCCCGCGCTGGAGGTGATCGAGTTCGACATCTCGCGGTGGGAAGCGCAAGTCCCCGAGTGGATGCTTCGTGCGGTGCTGCTCGACTTCCGCATCTACGCCCCCGCGTTGCAACAGGTCATCTTCTGGATTGGGCAGACCCGCATCAACTGGTACATGACCCATGAGGGCGAGTGGCAGCACGTACGCCATATGGGCCGGGCTCCCGGGAGCGACGTCCTCTGGCGCACCCTCTAACTCTAACGAGCGGACCAACGAGAAAACGGGAGGGGAGGGACGCGATGGTAGGATACGCGCGGATGCGCGGGTGCGCGCAGCCGGAGGGCGCGGCGGAGGGTGCGTCTCGATAACGGAACTTGGGTCGCCCGCATGGACCAATGCGGCTCGAGGCAGGGCATGCGAGTGCTCGAGGCGTGTCGCTGTCGCTCGTCGGAATCACGATCCCGCGCACAGGTGTGTGGTTCGGGTGGCGCGTGCGAGCGCGAGCGAGAAGGCGCCGTGCGCTTTGCGCGTATCTGACTCCGCATCTAGGCATCTGGGACTGACTTTGCGAGAGGGACTGCTGGGCGAGGCAATATCGCTCGGGTGCTCGGAGCCGTGTATTAGACCCAAGATATCAAGATAATCTATAGGCTGTTGGGCCGGACCTGCGCGTGCTTCGCGACTTCTTGCGATGCCGGAGGTACTTTCGCACAGGCTCTGGAACGCGTGGCGGTGAGTGGCTGTTGCTTGTAGCCCATTCGAAAAGAAAAGAAATGCGAGGACGTCGGGAGAATACACGGTCAAGGGGCGCCCGCTGACGTGCGTATACGGATTATCGGGAGGGTCGGGAAAAGGCAGGAGAAAGAAAAGCTCGGAATCCTGACGAGGGCCGCGGAAAGAGGAAGACTTGTCACGGGCGGACGCCGGCGCGGGGACAGTATGGCCATATCCGGGCGAGAAGACAGGGTGTATGTTTGCGCGTCTCGGATGTGAGGCGACTGCGCCGTTCTCTGCCCTGTCTTTATTTGCCAGGCGCATAGTGCGTCGTGCGGCAGTGCGCGTTCGTGGCGCTTTCATATGAACCCGGCCATCTGCACCATCCTTTGTTCGTTTCAAATCCCACAACGCGTCCCAGCCCTCCCAACCAGCCCGTCTCTATGTCTACCTCCACCACATCAACATCCTTCTCCTCGGGCTCCTCTCTTTCCTCCGCCACGTCCTCGTGGTCCCGCTCGCTCCCACACCCTCCTGCGCCCTGCACAATGAACGCTACCGCGAACCCCTCGAGCTCGCGCACGCCTGGGCCACTTCCCGCAACGCCCAGCATCGCGGCGCTGCCGAGCCTGGCGCATTCATTGTCTGCCTTCCCCACGATGACCATGGTCACGAACGACATGGTCCACTACGGCAACCTCGGCAGGACAAAGGGCGCGAGCGAAGCCAAGGTACGCGCACCTCCCCACAGCTCGCTCGGAGTCGCACAACATGCCTGCGCCACAGCCGCGACTCCGAGTCGACGCCACCCGTTCGTCGTACTATTGTTTGCTGATCGGGGCCTCGTATTCTGTCGACAGCTCAACTCGGCGTTGCGCATTACGCAACAAAGACAAATCTCGACCGCCGCGCCCGGGGCACTAGCCATGGTCAGTGGCCACCACGTTTGGGGTGCCTGCTGTGGCGTCCAGTACTCATAGCCGGCCACGTTTCCGCCCTTACAGATGTCCGCAACGTCGTCGCCCGCCTCGCGTACATTAACCCTCGCGCGTTATCCGACGTCAGAGGACGAGGACGCTGTCCTCCTACTCGTTCCGAAGCGGTCGAAGGTATGTTCACGCCCATGCGCCATATCCCTGTATCCCTGCGGGGCCCAGCAGAGCAGGCGCTGACAGTGTCTATTTACCTATCTTTGCGCAGGCAAAGCGTTCATCATGACAAGCTGACCGCTGAGTACGGCCAATTCGGGGCTTTGGCAGGCCGAGGCCTGCGATAGGCCACAATCCCCTCGACGCCAGCCCTTAGGCCAACTCTATCTTGACACGACGCTCGATACCCATTCCCGGCGTTGTGGCGCGACAGTACGGCGTATCGTCCTATCTCCCCGCCACTCATGCTCCCTTTCGCTTCGGATTTCGAAATGGTTCCCTTGTATTTTTTTCGTCATATATTCGGGTCCCGCATGATTTCGTCATGGCCGTAGTCGTTTGCTCTCGGTGAGGTAGTTCAATGTGAGATATGATCGTCGATATTCTTATGACAGCACCCTCCTACTGTATACCACTAATAATAGCTAGTCAAGCACACAGGGTATCGATAGCAGAAGCAGATGTAGCACCACTTGTAACGTTACTTCATGATTGTTCGTAGCTCGGAACAGCAATCGAAACACGAGGAAAGAGACACAGAAAGAAGCCAGAGTCCGAGCGGAGAAGAGCGTGCAAAACGTCCATGCAACAGCGTGCCAGTCCTGACGACTGACAGACGTCAGTGGGAAGCGTACCTGTCTGTACCTGCGTGCATCGAGCCCCTTATTCGCCGGCGAAGAGACGGATAAGCATGTACGTTGTCGAACCGATGAACCGAATGACTAGAAGGCGACGTCAGCATTACCGCACTGCATAGTTCGAAGCCAGAAGCGAAGAAGCGAGCTACGTACGCGCGAGACCGGCGACGGAGAAGAGGATGAACGCCATGTAGCCGTTGACAGTGTTGTGCGCGCCTTTGTCGGACGCTTTGCCTGTTGCGGTGCTGCGATGTCGATGTCGGGATTAGCCGAGCGAGATCATGTCCGGGGTAACGGATGTAACACATACACAATGATCGCTGCGAGTAGAGCCTGTAACATGATCGTCTTGGGTCAATCATTGAAACCGGATATAGAGGGACGCGTACTCACGTTGGAGAGCGTCCACCAGAGGAGCACCTTGTTGTGTGCCAGCAGCGGTCAGTACCGGGATCACCTCACCTAGAGCACAGATAACACCTGAAACTCACACTAGGTGAGAAGTGCATAGCAATTAGTCACCTCGTGCACGACCACATCGGGCATATGCGGAACGAGCACGTACTTCGTCCTGAAACTCTTGTAGTAGTCTTCCTGCTGCGTCTGCGGATCGGGCTTGGACTCCTGCTTGGGCGGCTTAGTGGACAGCATATGGATCGCGTCCTCATACGCCGCATTGATGTCCGTCTCCGCGGTAGGCACTACAACCTCGACTTCGTTCTTGTTCCCGGCGGTCTTGACGACGCCCAGGTCAGTTGATATCTTGTTGTCTCCCTTCGTACCCCACGAGACGTCGCTGCGGAATGCGGGGTACAGCGAGGATTAGGTGAGCATACTTCCGAACCCCACGGCACAATTAAGATTAATTAAGTGCACGCACTGAACGTTCGCGAACTGTTACAGACGGGGATCAGCGTGACTCAGCATGATTCATCCGGGAGCAATAAACGCACAGCGTAGACGTTGAGGACCGAGATGTATGAAGGCGCCATGAGCAGATACTGAACGAACGACGTGATCATGTGCCATGGCTCGAACTATCAACACGTATCAGGGCCACACAGCGGTGATTAGTGCGGAGTATGACACGTACGAAAATGAGAGAAGCCAGAATATATAGACCGAGTGTCGCAAGCAGCGAGATGACGATGTTGCGGAAGATCGAATTTGTGAAGAGCGAATTTGGCGTTAGGGGTCCGTTGGTCTTGACGACGTTCTCAATGCCCTTGAACGCCAGGAAGAACGCAGCAACCTGCGCGTTTCAATGTCACGTGTGACGTTCTGGTGTAGCTGCAGCAGCGCCGAATGATGGGGCCTTACCGTCATGTATACCGTAATCAACGCGAACCCGATGAATGCCGTCGTGAAGAACCACTTCGCGCCCTGAGGCCGGTTCCCGAGCGCAAGAATGAAGCACATGATGAGCAGGCCAAGGTAAAAGTAGTTCAATATGAGGTTCGCGATGTGGACGCCCTTGAGGTTAAACGACGGGTCCTCCAACGACTCGCTCAGGATTGTGAACGAGATGTAGTAATTGCCCTATTTCCGCTTGTCAGCCGTGCACACCACAGACACAGACGACCGGACATGAAGCTCACTAGGGCAAACCATGAGAAGAACAGGTTGAAGGTCTGGTAGAGCAGCTCAACATGGATCCAGAATTTTCTCATGAACGAATGCGAAGACCGGTAAATGTAATGGAACTTCACGGTACTGTGGATTGCCGCGAAGAACGAACCGTTCAGCCAGCGACGTCGCTGACTAATGAGTTCCGGAACCTACACCACCCGTCGATCAGCGGTCCGAAGAAAGGCACAAGTGGGCAGGACCGTAACTGACCTGATCAGGCACGTCCGTGACGGCATACGCAGACTTGACGTAGTGCAGGATCCAGCTCTGGTTGCGCTTCGACACGAGCTCCCAGCACAAAATACGATCCTCGGCAAGGTACATGTTCGCAGTGAAGATATCCGCGCCAGCTCCGTGCATCTTCTCGCCCAAGAAGTACTTCTGGAGCGGGCCTTCCCCAGTGGAATCGTTCTGCAGCGCAAAGTACCTATACGCGCTGAACGCGCCAGGCAGGACGGTTATGTACCCAAAGACGGACTCGAGCGGCTTGTCGAGAATGTTCGACATCTTGTACTCGAAGTTCTGCGCGGCGACAAGGGGGTTGATCAGGTTCTGCCCATACTTGCCCTTGAGTGCGACGATCTCGCCGCACGCGCCACCGACGTTTGAGTTGATGTCGAACGCCTTCCACAGGTGATAGATGGACGTCGGACCGGGCATGGTCCCCACATCGAGCAGGACGCAGACGTTGGGCTGGAGGATCGGGCCGAAAGCGTTGAAGAACCATCGATGCGAGTTGATCTTCTTCTGGTTCATCTCCTTCAGGCAAAAGATGATCTGCACCGGGACGATCCCGCGCTCCGCGCCTTCGAGCTTCATCGACGGCGTCACCGAGACTGTCCCGAATTGTCAGCGCGACCATGCCCGAATTAGAGGAAGCAGGCGGACGGAACATACTCTGCGTCGTGTACTCGTATATGTGCGCGGTCACGGGCTTGCCGTTCACGATGTTCTGCCGGAGCATGAGCGCACGTGCCGGCGCGGAAGTGACTTACTCCTGGACCACGCACCTTTGCCACACCATCCTGGTACGCACCCATAGCGGCAATAACACTCAGCGTGCGCGAGTTGATCTTCTGCCGGCCATCTGACACGATGCACACCACGACCTTCTTCCAACCCTCCTTCCCCCACGTTTTACTCCTATCCCGCTTGCACAGGTGCGCAATGTTCTTCATGACACCGTGCATCGTCCTGCAAAACAGCTCCTCATCCTCGTTGTACATCGTCATGACGATAAACAGCTCCGTCTTCCGCGGGGGATCATAGTGCACCTGCCTCAGCGTGAACCCCGAGTCCTTGAAGTCGTTCGGGTCGCACGTCGCAGCCGAGTAGCGCATGTGCGTGAACTCGCGCTCGTTGCGCAGCGCGCACATGCCCAGCAATTTCGTCGGCACGGCCGAGTCGAGCACGAAGTTCCCGTGGAAGAGCTCGACCTTCTTGATCGTCTTGTACCGCCGCGGCACGCGCTGCGGGATGCGCCCGTATCGGATATTGCTCTCTGACCGGTCATCGCCCTCCACGGGGTCGTACTCGCCTGGCATGGGCATCGAGCCGCCTGTGGGACCGTCGCGACGCAGCAAGGGGATGTCGCCCGTGTCTCCAAGATCATCAACTGCACCATCGTCATGTAATTGGAACCCTGTGGACGGCTCGTATGGAGACGGTTGAGGTGCAATTGGGTCACCGAGAAGATTATGGTTGAAGTTATTCGAGTAGTCGAGCGGAGGAGAGCCAGGGTGCACTGGAGGTGGAGAATGTGGATGGGAGAACGTGGACTGATACGGGTCCTGGTACTGTTGTTGGGGAGGTATGAAGCCTCCTGGCTGGCCTGCGTATGGATCCGCATGGATGGGCTGGAAGGATTGATGCTCCTGCTCGTAATTGGGGCTTGGAGTATGATGATAAGAATTGGGGTCAGGATAGCTGAGGTACGGTGAGTATCCATCATTGTAATGGCCCCGCTGGGCCTCGTCCGCCTGTAGGGAAAGACGCTAGGTCAGTCTCTCCTAACGCAGTAGCCATGTGTTTTGGAATGTGATGCGCGTGCATGACATGAGGCAAGGCGAACTGGCACTAGTCATCAGAGACGGTCGAAGGTGATCTCAATACTGCGCCAGTCATGCCAAGCATGATTATGAGGCAGCAAAGAGGACGAGCCGCACAATATGCTGTCGTGGTCACAATCTCGCCACAGGCATCTTCGAAATTCACCACAAGCTCGGACCGAGGTGGTCGGAATGATGGCAGTCCCTCGATATGCGTTCTCTTTGACCACAGAGGAGGAGCAGGTCATCTAGAAGAGATGGTCTTCTTCTCGTCTGCCATGCTGTTGCAAGTGTGGACTCGAGCAGCAATGCGCTTATATGGATTTGCCCAAATGATCGACACGCGCCCTCGCTTATATCACTCCAAAACGCGTCGCCCGAGAGCGGTACGAAACGGCAAAAGTCTAAGACGGCGACTCACCTCTGGTGGAAAGTGCGACATAGCGGGTCAGCAGCGAGAACGTATCTTCGGCGTCCTTTGCGTTCGAGAGGGAAGAGGATACAAGAAAAGTCACTGCGGAGGGTGAGGATGCTGTGCTGAGAGGGCTTGGCGCAGTAACAGGCAGACACTGCCCACCGCCGCAACCTCGCCGCAATGCACCGCAAGACTCACCACAATGCTCCGTCCGTCCACCTTGTCTTCCTAAGCCTTATCACAATAACGTCCTCCTATCCGTCGGCGATGCTCAAGGTCAACACGTTGAATTCGCAAAGCGCTTCCCGAGAGGTGGACCAGCGTCTGAGTGGAACTGAGGACCGAGGGTGCGAAAACCGTCACTTCCAGTTAGCAGAGAAACTAAGCCGATGAACGAGCTCAAAGAGATCTTCGAGGCGTTGCAGAAGGGTCGTCGCAGGTCGTTGCTGTCGTCGTCGTTGTGGCGGAAAGAGCGCCGTCGGAGATGATCCTGCTCGATGACGCCCGTGTCAGGCGGTACCGCAGACGCCCAGGCACTGCTGCTCAGATCTTTCGCGCACCAAGCCCGAGCAGCCTGGAAATGAGCAACGTTCCCACCAAGGCTACATACATACACATTTCCCATTCAGCTTTTGCTCCTAGTCGGCTCCCGGTGCTGACAAGCATTGATTGACGTGTGTTTCGATGTATGGCATCAGCGTAGTTGCATCGAGCCGGCAGGGTAGGTAGTATACATATATAGAGACCGCACGAATACGTAGACTCGAACGTAAGATAAGTACATGCACACAAAGAGTCACATGAGGAGATACAAGACCTCAAGACAAGCATTAGATGAGCAAAAGCCACGCGAGTAACCTCTCAAGCGGCCCTTGTGGTTCATCGTCCGCCGGGTTGTGTGGGGGCAGGTCGCCTCGGTAGAACGACATCTTCTCCAGCGGTATCATCTCCGTCTGCTTGATCAGCTTGTAACCATACGTCAATAGCAAGAAGAAGGGCTATTGACATCGTTAACCCCAGTCAGGTCGACGTAGATTCCGTACGAGATAGGACGCACCAGAGGGATGTACGCGGAGAGGAACTGTGACACCGCATTGGAGTCTGGGGACTTTTGTCCCAGGGCGTTCGCGATCCTCCAGTTGTTATGCACGAAGACCGCCCTAGATGTCCAACATATGCGTCAGCCTGAGCTAACGTTGGGCATGTACCGGAGATTGCGGCTCACCATCCATTCGTAAAGAGCACGACCATGCACAGGATGAGCGCGTACCAAGCCAGCTGACCCGCACCTACCCGTCAGCACACGATCCTCTCGAGTCAACATCACTCAATACACGTACGTATGGCTGTCCCCAGTTCCTGTTCTCTTTGATCTTCGCAATCTGCGCCATGGCTTCCCTCCCTTCCTCCGACTCGTCCTTTTCCCACTTCTTCTCATGAAACACCGTCCCTTGGTGCCACCTGATGTACGTGAACAGCATTCCCGCCCACGATTGCAGCGATGCGACGCTTGCGACGTTCACCAGCCAGTTGAAGACGGTGTTCGCGCTGCCCGCCCCATAGCTGAGGAACGTGAGGAGACCGACGGACGCGGAGACGAGCACGCTCGCGAGCGGCATGACGTAGGTGGGTTGAGAGGAGGGGAGGACCTGTTCGCCTGCTATCTCTTGGTCGGTCAATGCATGCTCGACGTGCACATCGTGGATGCCGTCTATGCTCGCGAGAAGTCAGCATATGCGATGAAACATCGAAGGTACCGAGCTTACTATCATCGCTGTCATCATCCGACCCCCCTTCCAAGTCGCTCAGCTCACTGTCGCTTTGGGGCACGGCTCGTGCCCGAGGGTACCTGAACAGGTGTGCGAGGAAGGTGGGTGCGTGTCCGCGGCGGGCCAGGAAGAACAGGAACCGGCTGCTGATGTAAATGTCCGACGCAGCCGCAGACCAGGCCGAGAGCAGGATTGCTGCGTTGATCATGTCCGGGAGCTGCAGGGAGAGGCGTGGTGGCGAATGCGCAGAATCAAAGCATGATGCGGGATTAGGGAAAAGTAGGGGCGAGGAAGGAGAGGAAGGACGTACCACAGTCCATCCCGCGCGTGAGAAAGCGATGACGAATGGAGAAGATCGACCTGTCTTGTCGCCTTCGTCGCCGAGGCCGAGGTTGGGGTCGCTCGCTGGGACTAAAAGACCGGAGACCAACACTCCGCCGACGTAGAATAACGTGCTGGTGGCACATGAACACCGGTGATCAGTACATGGTCATCATACCGCGAGATAGAGAATGACATGGACGCACATCCTGATCCAAACCTTGCGCAGAGCGCGTGGGACGTTCTGGCGCACGATCGGCATTCAGAGCATACCACGAGCATCATACGAGGAACGTACCCGTGTCGCATCGACGACTTCTCCGGCAGCCTGAGGGTGCTTGTCAATAGATAAAAGGAAGAAAAGTAGTGACGGTGACAAACAATTCCTGGCACCTCGGAACCGAAGAATGAGAAGGACGCCTGCATGATGACCGCCCAGAATCCTAGGAACTGGCCTTTAGGACCTCCAATCCCCAGGTACTTGTCTGTGAAGGGCTGTTCCTTCCAATTTCTGAACCCAATGACCCTATTCGAGGAGGCGGATGACTACGCGCTCAGAATGAGCTCAGCGTCTGTCAGCTTACCCCTGTTTAGATGCTCCGAGGTCGATGAGCAACCCGAGTATGACTAGGTAAGATAGATGAGCACATGCTGCTTTCATAATGTGGAAGGTACTCACTAACGCAGACAATGGTGAGGACCTTCAGACAAGACAGCGTATACTCCATTTGGCCATAGACTCGAGAAGGGAAACAATTGATCGTTGTTGCAATGACAAGCTGAGAAGGACTCAGTATATTAGCAATCAAATCATATATTGCAACAGCTCTGCTCACGAAGGCTGCGGATACCGCCGCAACGCTGTCCCAGAGTTAGCATCTGGACTAAACTATGAAACGTTACCCTCTCGTACCTGCTTTTGGCAATGTCATCTTTCCAATATCCAATGACAACTGCAGCAGCAGTAATCTCTGTGGCTAATCCAGGGTCAGATCTGGTGGTGCCCACGAGTCCTAGGCAGTGCTTACGCAGAGTGACGCTCCAGTTGTACTACACCCAATTCGTCAACACGGACAAATGTGAAGACACAGACGACGTGACCCACCCATGCTGCCCACCCCAGCGAGAAACCGAGTGCAGGATCTACATACAGATCGGCTAGGCCGACTACACCACCGACGTTTGGCCTAGATGCACACTTGTCAGTACAAACTCATGAGAATTCACAATCAGCTCGCTTACAGAAAAGCGATCATCTCCCCGACGGACACGCACAGGCAGTACACGACTGTGCCGACTATGGAATATCCGAGAATAGCCCCGACAGGACCTCCGTTCCGTATTGCATCCTGAGGAACGAGTGATTAGCTGCGGACAGTTGGCAAGATCGTTGTCTGTCTTGCTCACAGCGGATCCTACGAAGAGTCCAGTTCCGATGACGCCCCCTATAGCAAGAAGAGCACTCGGTTCAGTATGCGTCGAGTGCTCTCTTTCCTCGGGCCGAGGCTTACCAATAGAAATCATGCCGACTGCGTGTCAGAGCGCGTCAGTCTCCATGCTCGCTCGAACACCATCATAGGTTGCCTACTGTGTTTCCGCGAGAGTTGAGGAGGCAAATCTGCCTTGATACGCTCCCATCTCTGCTGGAACTGCTGAATACGTTCGCGCTGTTGCTGAAGTCGCAGACGTGGGCCCGTAGCCGGAGCTTGTATGTGGACTCTGCGCGCTTGAAGCTCGCCGGGCTTCGCCTTGTGTCGTTCGCGCAAGTCACTTGGGTTCATCGTCACGGGGGTGGTGCCAGTGTTGAAGATAGATGCAGGGACATCGCGGGATAGGTGAGGAGCGGAGGTGTGTGTGTGTATGGAAGACATGCGCCTAGTGGTCGCCCTGAGGCGTCAGTCTTGAGATGTGAAGCTGGCCTTTCTTCCTAGGTCAGCGTGCAAGAGTAAGCGGCGATACCATATGTTGAGGGAGTCATCGTAGTCGAGATAAGGGCAGCACGCCAGCCACTGCATATTCGAAGGCGATGCGCATCTCGTCCCTAGAGGGCAACTCACCGGTGGCTGCGGGTATTGGACATATGTATATATGTCGGGTGCGGAGAGCTTGAAGAGTCCGAGGCCGAGTACATAGACATAGCCGTGATGCGAAGGCGTTTCATTTAGCCGAGGAAGGACACATTGTTGGATGTGGTTGACAGCCACCTGATACGCGCCCGTAGCACCCCACAGCGCTTACTGGTCGTAATGCTTCCGACGTACGTGCTCTGCGTCCACGGCGTCTCATTCCGTTATCTGTGTCAAGTTGGGGCAATGCTCGGAAGGCTCAAGTTGCTGCGTGCAGCTGGTTGGGTGCGCTATCTGTGGTTGCAATCAAGTAGCTGAGTGCCTATCACAGCCAACCGCATCGCCAGAACGAATGTCAGGCCTTATCTCTACTTATGTTCTTTTGGTCTGCTCGGTAGCTCGCTCGGATCTCGACACTCGTGGCAAACAAGCCACATTCCCTCGGACGCGGTGCAGCGGTGGTCCTGACTCCTAGGCACCGGTTGTGCTTTCCCAGCTGCGATCATGACCGATTCAGGCGACTACTAGCCTTGTCGGTCGACTGTTTTATACCATCATCCATCCTGCATTGGCGGGTCCCTTCCTCTCCTTCTATCCCTCCAAGCCTCTCATGTTGTAGCCCACGTCAATTCTTATCCCAGCCACCCAGTCGATGCATTGGTGGTGTAACATCTCGTCGGATATTTTGCAGAACGCGACTCTCGCCGCCGTCACCTGCTCACAAGAACCTAACATCAACTCGCAGTGTATAGCACTATGCCCAAATGCCGACTTTACTGGAGTGGGAGTGCGCACAGCGTTCTATGTACAAAGTCTCATGAACAGTAAGTTCCTACTCGTTCTCCTGGCGTGGCGAATTTTGAAGGCGAGGTCCAATTGCGGCTGTGGCAAGACGTCTTTTCGTGGCCACATAGGATATGCACGACGCTCGTGGGGTGGTGTTCCAAGCCTCGTCCGCTCCGTTTGGTCCGCTTACTATCACCTCTCTCTATCATAGCTCTACTCGTGGTATTCTCCCGAAGGGACTCTGTACCCACGACATGGGCGGCAACACTCCTCACCGGCGCACTTGTGATCGCGGCCATGGTTCAAAAGCACAATCAGAGCATCACGCTGCATCATGCTATCCTTGTGTTGAAGTGAGTCCTGTTGTTCATTGGTCGTCTGTCATTCAGGGGGCTTCGTGCAACCCTGGGAGGCGAGTGGGCATACGAAGCCCTCAGAAACATCGATGTGGATTACAGTCGAGTCTCGCATCGTACGGATACGTGTTGCAGCGAACGGTGATGAGAACTAGCGGGTGACGCTCCTCGCTTCCGCTCAGATCGCGAGGAACCCACGTAATCCCGTTCGACAGATATCTGACTCGCTGTCCTTCGTTTCATGATCCCCATAGTTCGGAGTATACTGATACGCTGACACGCCACTCTCCGCAGCTTCGCGACACTCTCGTGCATCAGCTCCCTCGCTGTCGCGCCCACGCTCTCCATCTGGCGTCTCACCCCGCGCGAATACTACGCCAAGCGCCTCGCACGGGACATGCTCGACGGTCACCATGACGACGCCGAAGAAGACCGCTTGATTGGGGAGGCGGCGGAAGTGATCACCGGCCGGCGCGAGCGCAAGATCGCTCGCGCACAGAACAGACAGCGGATTGTCCTCGCCCTCGCGCTCCTCACCCAGGTCGTCCTCCAGTGGGCGTGGGGCATCGTCCTGTTCGTCTCGCCCGTGTACTCACAGACGAACTGCTCTGGGGAGACGGCGCTGATCTTCTTCCTGTGGAGGTTCACGGCGCGGGAGATCAACGATAACATGGTCGTTTGGGTCCTGTGGTTGCTGTTCTCGCTCGGCATCACGTTGGCGATGACTGTCATTCTCGCGCTGTCGAGTCCGGTACGCGCGAGATCGGGTACACAGCACGCATCGCCTGCGTCGAGTTTGGGGGCCACGTCGCTTTCGACGTTGTCGACGCCACGACCGCCGGTGTACCGCCAGGTGTTTGAGTCTGCAGCTGGAATGGTGCCGTCGTGGAAGGATAGGTCCGGCCAGCTGATATTCTGGTATAACGTCGTGTGTGTCTTCCTATGGTCCATCTACATCATCTGTGAGTACCTGCCCGTCTCTTCCTTCAAAGCGAAGGCTCATACAACACGTCTACTAGCGTCAGAGATTCAAATACAGGCCAACTGCATCTTCACCGGCGAGAACAGCATCACAAGCTTCGGTCAGGTAGGCAGGACCTTGACCGCGATTGTGGGCTCCCCCGCTGACTCCCTCCCCACGGCAGATCACAGCCCTCCTGCTGTCACTCGCGCCTGTCTGGAGCCTAACAGTGGCCGTATACCGCTGGCCTCAGAAGCAACGCAGGCTTCAGCGCCGCCGTCGCCACGCGATGCTCTCTTCCGTCCAATCCCAGGCCTCCAACCAGTCCGTGGTCGATATCATTGTGTCTAATCCCGACTACGATCGTGGTCGCCCACAACGTGGGTCTGACATCGCCGACGGGAGCAAAGGCCACACGACCGTCGAGATCATGGAGACGGCGACGACTGCGCTCCCCACTAGGGAACGCGCGAGGCCAACGGGGATGTTGCAATCTGCTCTTCGCGGGGGCCGCGAACGGAGTCGCTCTCAGGAGCCGAACGCCGGGGCGCGGCCACGCTCCCAGGGACCTGGAATGAGGGCGCGTACCGGGCACACGAATATGCCGACTGGGTCGTTGATGAGCTTTCCGCTTCCGACGAACACGGAGGAGGAGTGGACCGAGCTGGCTACGTTCCCGAGGTAGCAGATGTGGTCGTTTTCCCCTGTATTTCCCTTCGCTCTGGCCTCGCTACACTTCGCGCGTTGCGTCGTGGTGTCTTGTTAGTGTAATGTATGTAATATTAGGTTGTTGTAGACTATATGTAGTCCCTCTCCTTATTTGTAAGCCCGCACAGTTTCCTGAGCTATCATTATATCGTAGTTACGTAGCCCGATCGTTTCCTCAACCTCGACTGACACATTACCGCGCTACAGAGGACCGACGGCATGCATCAATCCCAGTACCTTCTCTACCTACAAGACATCAAACTAGGGTTGAATCATGCCAATTCCCCTATGTCTACAAAACATGTGAAAGCAAGGGTCCAACTATTCGCGGGAACGAGAAGGCCCACCCGATGCTCGCTATTCCTATTGGGGCGGGGATATCCAGAAGGTCACTATGCGGGCATCGTATTAAACATCCAGTTACAGTGACAAGGCATGGCATTGTATCCACAATTTCAAGCTAAATCAACCATGCCAAGACCTTTCCTATCCACCCTTTTGGCGGTTCTTCTTCCTCGTACGGGGGAATATGGCCCCCGTCGAAGGTCATCTTGTCGTATGGGATCATTTCGGTTTGCCACACGAGCTTGTACCCGAACGTCATCACCAAGAAGAACGGCTACCCAACGCAACAATGTTAGCACACGCGTGCGCCGGGTCCCTGCGAGAACAGCTGCAGTAGGAGAGAAATAATGTAGTGTACGCACCAGCGGGACGTAGGCAGCGAGAAGCTGCGAGACCGCATCACCGAATTCTTCGTCGGGTCCGCTGACTTTTATTTTTGGTCAAATGCCACAGCAATCTTCCACTCATGATGGATGAACACGGTCCTGCATCGTCAGGAGAAGTGAGACAGCAGTTCGACAGGTCTATGACTATCCAGAGGATATTGGGTTTTCCAGACGTACATGCCATTTGTTAGGATCACGAAGACGCATAGAATCAAGGCATACCAGGCCAGCTGTGGGACCGAAATCGCAACGATAATGAATACAAGGCAACGGCCGCGAAGAAGGCCCGACTTACATATGGCTGGAAGGGGCTGCGATTCTTTTTGATCCGTTCGTGTTACGGCGAAGCGTGTCAGCACTCAAGGGGTCGTGTGCAGGTTATGCACAACGAGGACGCAGACTGATGACAAGCTTAGTACACTGGTTCACTGGGGGTCTGGGGGTTCGAGGTCACTAGGGGTCTAGGGAGTGAGAACGCTTGATTGGTACAAGAGGTCAAACTGGGGTGCCCAGTGCAAGACCTGTCCTTATATACTAAAGTACACGGTCGCTGACTAATCAGAGAACAATAGCGAATGGGGACAAAGGAGTCACGTGGTGTTGTGACCACATAGTACAATGGCGAAAAGAACAATAGCGATGAGAACAATGGGGATATGAAGCATGGTGTTGGAACCATGGTAGGTACGAGTGTCCGGGTTGTGCCGTAAGAAGAGGGAATGCATGGTAGAGAGGATACGAGGAGAAAGGAAAGAAGAGACCGCCCCCACAGGGCGTTTGTAACA